AAGTGGTTGAGTCACCATCCCTGGAGGTATTTAAAAGACGGGTAGATGAGGTGCTTATGGACATGGTTTAGTGGTGGAGTTGGCAGTGTTAGGTTAATGGTTGGACTCTATGACCTTAAAGGTCTTTTCCAACCTAAATGATTCTATGATTCTATGAATGAGATCCTACTGAGGCTGCTTCTGCCAGCCAAGGTAGGCTGACTACTCTGCTCTATTGCATGCACTATAAGAAGGCATACTCTGATCTCAGGCAAAGGAGGACTACAAGCTCATTCACTCCCAGATAATCACTGCTGGATAGGAAAGTCTTGATTTCACAGAGTATATGTGTGCTATAACTGGGATCCAGAGCTCTAGTTTGAATCCCTGCATAGGAGACCCACAGGAATTTCCTCAGACAATTTTCTTCCCAAACAGGAATTTTTAGGTCACAAAAGCCAAGAAAGTACATAGACCCCTGTCTCAGGTGAACAACAAAAACTCCAAATCCTTCCTTTCTCTTTCCTTCTGCATTAGCAAGCCACTCTCTTATCCCTCTGTGTTCCATCAACCACTGTCTAAGTGCTGTGATGTGACTTGTAAGAGATGTGTGTGCCTGTACAAGTGAGTTCCAAGATCCATCACAACTGAAAAAGGCCACTGACCTGCAGGAGATAATGGTTCAGTATTGAATATCTTACCCGGATCTGCAAGTCGCTGAGGTCAAGGCATCTGCACATTTCCAGGAAGAGCTTCACACCCTCCTCATCCAGGATTATATAGACTGGGATCCAGCGCTTATATGCTGCATCAACAATATCGCGAAAGATGTCCCGGTCTGTAAATACATCCATGACCACTGCAATAATCTGGAAACAAGAAGACAGTAGACAGACAACTGAATAAAATATTAGGAACTGAAAGGGATGCCCATCACACCAGTGCAAAATAAAGGAAAGCACTGATACCAGAATATGGAGGAGGAGGATATAGGGGAGACAAAAGTACAGGGATGTACATGCCCAAGCACTACCAATAATCTTGTAATTTTCTGGCTTGGCTCGTGCTGCACTTTGGAAGGAACTTAATAAATGTCTTTGAGAGTTCTCCTTCTTCTAGGGGAAGATGGCTTATTTCAACAGCCTGAGGAATGCCAAAGCCAAATACCTAGTTTCTCTTCTGTATTGTGAAACTTTCATTGCCTCTGTAAGGATTCACTCAAAGAAGAACGCTGAAAATAGACTGAAAAAGAAGAGTGAAAAATACAGCTCTAACACTTAATCAGAAGGTGAGTAATGGAAGAATGAATGTGCAGAAGAATCGGGGCCTGAATCCTCAGCCATGGTGCATAGTGCAGACAACAAGAATTTTATTTTCCTTTTTTCCCAATTCCCTGTGAGAAGTCTGCTCTCAGGGCTGGCTTCGTGAGGAATGTCTTATGAAGCTCAAACATAAACACCTCATATTTGTCAAGAAGGGACTGAAGTGTGTGTTCAAGATTTGGAGGCAAAATGATCGTTCCCTCTCTTCTCATGTACATTTTTTCTGGTATAAAACTAATCCCTCTTTCCAGGCATAGATTTTACACAAAAACAAAAGGTTGCACTGTTGTGACAGACAAGCCTGAACATTCATAGGATGAGTAACAACAAAACCAAGAAGGTTATGGGCAACTTTAATGCTGATCTTAGATGTTTTGTCTTTCTCTCCCTTTCTGAACCTTTTACACCACTAGAAATATCAATTCACTTTTCTGCCTGAAAGAGTTATTCTCCCCAGCATTTGAGAGGCTATGAATGAAGGAAACTACTGTTTTCCTAGTCCCACTGGGAAACATCAACTTGCCAGGTCAGAGCTCTCATGCTGACAGTATGCTGGGAATAGAGTTGCCTAAATTTTAATTTCCCAGGCGCTGGGGTCACAGTGACGAGCCAAGCTGTGCTGGGGACGGCACATACAGGTGCGAATGGAGCTGAAGACTGGATTGAACAGTAGGATTTTCTTCACTTGAAGTTCAGAAGAAGTGCAGCTCAAGTTGCAGGAGCCCCCTATGGAAGGGGGAACAATTGTCACCAGAGACCTCTTTCCTTTGAAAAAATGCCCTTGAAGAAATTGCTTTTGGGAAAGTGATACCACAGTAAATGTCCCCTACCGTGTTTGCTGAGTCTTTGCTTGTATGGCCAACAACAACCAACACATCTGCTCCATCAGGCTCCTGTCAACAGTGCTTACACAAGCTTTTCTTTGTTAGAAAAAGAAAAAAAAAAGAGCTAACGTTGTGTTTATGTTCATCATTAATGTGTAGGTTCCTGATACAGGTGAACTATGGTGAAGCTACATTATAAACTAATAGTAAATCCCTCGATAACTTCTGCTAGGCAGAACTTGATTTCAGGTCCTACCTTGGTTCTCGCTTCCCAGCACAAAGCAGCAAGATGCAGGGAATATTACTAGAACCTCTGAAAATTATAATACAGTGAACTTGTGCCACTTTATTCCTCAGCAACTTCATATAAAGGCAGATTATAATTAAAGGCATGAAGAGTTCACGCATTAATTCAGGCCTGTTATGCTCCCTCTCCCCTCCACACACTGTGGTATGGATGTAGTTATTTAGGAGTAAGGATGCCAGATAATATTCATTTGAAGTAAGAACATCCACATAGGGAATTGATCAAGAATAGATAGCGGAAGTGTGAATTTGTTTCCTTTCCATCCCCTCCATTTGCAAGGAGTCCAATGACTGCAGAGATTACACCACGTCCTGGACAGACCATTAATTGTTAGTACTGGCCTTGCAATATGAAGGGATGGTTCCCTCCAGGCTTTGGGGCCCTGGGTCAGTTCAGGCTTCTTTGCAAGACTGTGGACTAAACCCCTGAAAACTGCGGTCCTGTATGAAAAGCAGATGAGCTGCCTTGCAGATGGCACTTCCAAGCCAGCAAAATGTGAGGGGGGCAATCCCACTGTTGGTACGTTAGTCTTCCCAAACCCCTGCCACAAGCTGGTGATCTGTCGAGATTACCTAGGAGCGTTCCCAAATACAGCAAGTCAGAGCAAGAGTGTCTATCCCTGCAAGAGGTTTTCCCCATTCTACCTATCTTATGGATAACAACTTATCTATAGGGCCCATAGGCGTGCCTAGCTCTTCATAGGTATTTACAGATTAGCAAGCATTAACTTGCCAATCTCATTGCAGCAAGGCAGCTTAATTAACATATGTTTGTAAAACACTGATGATAAGCCACCCACAGACATGTGCCACATATTACTAGTGTCTGTTTAGACCCCCTGCTCCAAAAAACACCCAAAACAACCAAAACCTACTCTCATCTGCTGAATGAAAAGCTGCTACCCGGAGATTTTTTTTGCCAGGGCCAGCTCAGCTGAACACAATAGCCATACTTATCTAGGAAAAGGACCATTAAACACTTAAATGGCTGTTAAACATGAAACCACCTTTGGGCTGGGAGGGGCATAGTTCATCCAGACAGTGAAAAAATAAAAATCTACAAAGGAATTAATTACTTTTAGGTGCCAGGCACAGCTATCGAAAAGAGCAAAGTTTCCCAGTCCTTGCACAGTCTGTAGAGGCATTTACAGCAGCGCAAAGAGGACGTGAAGTTGCACTAAATCGGAGCGTAAGCATTTTACAGCTTCTGGCTCTTCTAAACGACTGATCGCACCAGTTGCTGAGCAGGATTACGGGGTGTGCACATATTTCTGCGAGCAGGGAGCTGAGGAGATCACCCGCTGGATTGATGCCTCTCTGGAAAGTTTTCTGTGTTTCCCAACAGATTTGGTTTTAACAAGTCTGCAAAGATTGTGCATATAGTGTGTGCTGGGGGGGAGCGGGTGGAGGGGGAAATAACTGCTGAATTAGAAAGCAGAAAAAACAGAAAGCAGCAAAACTAAGAGCAGGAATAAAGTGTCTTATGCTGTTATCCCCCTTCCCCAGGGGGGATGTCAGCTCTGAAGGGGATAATTTCCTGAGTGGTCTTCCCTGGAAACTTCACCCAGACCTAGAAAAAACCACGTCATTGCCCCCTACCTATTCAACGCAAGCTCTTGTAGTGTCACGGCTGGTTTATTTTCTTGCCAGAGGTGCCCTGTCACCACTAACAGTCATCTCCAGCCAAAGATAAACAGGAGGAGCGGCCGCACATTGTCTGGACTCTGGCTGCTTGCAGTCCAGGCTGGATGGTGTTGAGACCACAAAAAATAAACCCCAAAACCACCACCCCATAAACAAACTTGCTGCCCTGTGTTTAACTAGGGATACCTGCACGTACAGGAGGGGTGGCTGGCACAGCATCACAACCTGTCTCCCCCTCAGCCAGTGAATCACGAAAAGCAAAACACGGGTATAAAACTCCAATTTGGGGGGGTGCAGGGGTTTAACCCCATCCTGGGCATCAGCTTTAGCAAACCATAACATGACCGGCAACGAACCGCAGGGAGAGCCCTGCCTGGTGGACGCTGACCAGCTGGAGGGCCAACGCGCTCCTCCCGCTGTGGAGGGGGCCAGCGAGGAAAGCCCGGCTGCGGAGGGCTCTCGCCTCCCTCCCACCCCACACGCCCCCCACCTGGGCCCTCTGCCCACATGCCCTCGGCCCAGGTGCGAAGGCGGGCAGGGGTGGCCCGTTGAGGGCACCCGCTCCGCGT